ATATATCTATATATGTATATATATAGGTATATATATATATGATACACATAATGTATTTGCGAGTAAATGTATTGTAAAATATTGAATCTATTTGTATGAAATACACATGTAATAAAATTATACTTATGTATACTCCGCATTTTTATGATATTGAAAACGAAATTAAATCCGATTTGTTATTCTGCTATTTTTAACATTATCTGAATAGATTTCATTAAACTTTAGCTACGCCGAATGTAAATCTCATACTAAGGCCGCAAAGCGTAGTTAAATAATTGGTTATACGTTTTATTTATTTTTTTTTTTTTTTACCGTGAAACAACAATTTGGTCTTCAATGTCCAGTGATGCCTCTCATATCTATGACGAACTGTGAGCCGATATGAAATTGTTTGTACTATATCTGACAGCAATGATGTTCTTAAGAGGGAGTAAAAGCTGTCAGGCACTCTAGACTAGAATCAGCATTGTTTGCTGGGATTTTCAGGCGCAGATTAAATGAATGCTCAGCAATCAGTGCTCGTAACATATATTCCAGCTTATGATTGATATGAATACAGCATCCATATTATCCAAAGGCTATCCACAAATTGCATATACTAGCAATTCTAATCCCAGACTACTCGCGTTGCAGAACTCTGGTGCCCATTAGCAAGTGGCCAAGGAGAATGGCCAACAGCGATACTGACTTGCATATTTACAATTGGTGTTCGTTAAATATGGCCATGAAACGATTACGGTTATACATTTTGGGACAGCAGACAGTTCATACGGTTCATACGGTTGCCATTGAACTGTTAACTTTGAGACAAGTTCTTAACGTACATGACATGAGCAACTGATATTTTAAATATATAATTTGTACCAAAAACAGATGAATTTTAAAACATTTATATTCTATACTTCTATAGGCTCCGATTTTATTGTTTTGATTTTTTTTAGTTTTCCTACAGCTACGTCAGGATCTGCGGCCTGCTTACGCTTTGATGCCTTTTTCTTTTTCGGCGACTCCTCAGCCTCTATGTTTGTCTCCACTTTAATTAGCTCTACGAGAGCATCAAGCTCTACATTTGCTTCTGGAGCTGTATTTACCTCCTCGTTCTCCTCAAATTTTATGACATTGTTCTGTGAAAGGGATATATACAGTCAAGTTAAGGTCGTCAAGAATGTATTGTATTTGGACTTACATGTGACTCGGACTCTTCGAGCAATAATTCGCCCTCGATATATGGCATGGCGCTACCTATATTGAAGTCCTTGATTCGAAACTTAATTTCCTGATCCATGACAATGTCATTTCTGTTTTGTTTCTTATTCGTAAATCGTATGGTTGTGTTGAACACTCGGTAGATAATAACGCTGATTTGATGCTTGGATATGTGCCGCACAACGCCATGGAGCACCGCACCAGCAACTGGCCTGAACACATAGAAATCGGCATTAATTAGCAAATGCAGAGTGGGATCATCGGCGCGTAACGCTGCCGTTTGACCCAAAACCTTAATGTTCTTGATCCCAAGCACTATTCCATTCACATTGCTATCGTATATGCCCACTTTGGTGCGGATGAGCAGCTCGTGCAACGCATGCTTAAAGTTACCCATGCCGTAAGGACCCATGGCCAGGTGCAGGTCTGTTTTGATGCAGCGCACGCATGATTCCGGGTTGGCGGCATACTGTTGCAGCTCTTTCGTCGTAAATTTTATGTATTTCTGGAGTATTTTGGCCATTCTGTTTATCTATTGCTTGGAGCACTTGCAACCACATGAGTTTTTGCTGTTCCTCAATGGCACTTTGTCAACCCTAAAACGCTAACTATCGTACTCAGCGTAATCAACTGTGGCGCATCTCTATGCAATAAATTTATCGATAGCTGTACACATCGAAGCATCATCTATTTTAGGGGTTGTTATGTTCAAAAACAGGAAATGATCGGGAACGTGGTAGAACAATGCAAATGGTATATGTATGTTTCTAGGTGGAATAAACTAGATTGTCACAGCTGGAACATTCTAATAGGTTGTAGAACAATTAAAACAAAAGATATATGTATATGCGATTTTAATGGGATAGCATTCGTTTTATTCGCGAATGAAAATGATTTCTTAAATATTTTCGCTTTCAATATAACATAATAAATAGTTTAATACGAAAACAATACATACTATTTTACAGGTATAATTCGATATATACATAAATATTGTTTCCTTTTTTTTTTACAAAAGAAAAAATTAAAATTTAAGGCAATACCTTATGGCGCGCCTTTTTTATTCAAGAAAATTCACTGAGTTGAGAAATATAGATTTATATATGTATACCATTCATCCGGTGTTTTCTTTTGCTGATAGATTAGGAACAGACCTCGAACGATCACGAGGCATGAGATTTGCAAATTGATATTAGCAACAACTTACAACTACGATTACATGCTTAAAATTAACAAGAATGTGAGCTTAGTTCACGTTGAAGTGCGGAAGAGTTTAGTGCCGGCGTTTTGTATTAGATTGATTTCAATAGTCAAACATTTGTGATGACATTCTTATTTCGATCGGCCAGATTATGAAATTTACCATGCGATCCAAACGGCGTACGCATGCGTCTCGTAAAGGAGCGCAGGCAACGTTGGCCGTCCAATGGTTCCGGTGTATTAGAGGTAGCCAGAACAGAGACTACAAAAAATTATATTATAAATAATGAAAATCTTATATGTATATTTATGATAGAATATATTACCTTTCTGCTCCAGCATCTTAATTTGTTTCTTTGCCTCCCTCAATTTGTTCATCAGTATCTCGTTCTTACGCTTCTCCACAGTCAGCTCCAGACCAAGCTGCAATTTACTCTTTGAATCCACAGCACTCAGAATTCTATTGTCAAAAAGAAATCAAATTTAGAACATACTTCTAGTCAAACCTATATGTGACTAAACTTACGGGTGACTGTAGATGGACATGGAGCTGGGCCTCTCATTCGGCTCGGGATGCATCATTTGCGCGATGAGTTCATTAAAGTCCTTGCTCAACGCTGGTATGGCCGGCACCTCTCCGTTGCGTAACTTGTGCCACTCGGGCCCGTTCTTTGGCAATGGTCCGCCGCCAGCCACCTCGAAGAGCGTTATGCCCAGCGAGAAGATGTCCGCCTTGAACAGATTGCTGTAGTCCTCCTGCAGTATCTCCTTGGACAGGTAGCGGCAATCACCCTCCTCGACGTACGGCTCGTTCACGGACGTCACATGTCCTAAGTCACCAATTTTGTATGTTACAAGATTCTCAGAGCTGCGCAGCTCCTCGTACACGCTATCCATGCCGTCATCATCCTTGCTGACCTGCGGCTGTGTCTTGTGAGCGGTGGGATTCATGGTGGAGAATATGTTCTCTGGCTTGATGTCCATGTGCACCAAATCATTGGAATGTATATAACGCAGGCCCTCGATCACATGCATCAGCAAGATCTTAAGCTCGGATTCGCCCAAGCAATGCTCCTGGATTCGCGCATGCAGGCTGCCCCCATCACAAAATTCATTCTGTATCAACATATGATCGTCCTCCGCCCAGGCCGAATAGTAGCGCACCACATTGTCGTGCTTGCCGAGCACCGCATGCGCCCACACCTCGTTCAAGGCACGCTTTCTGAAAATGTGAAAAGTCGGAAATTAATAAATAGACTTCAAGAGAGCTTCTGAGTTACTTACTCGAATGAGCTGCCCGCAACGGGTTTCTTGCTCTTTTTAATGGCATAGATGCAACCATCAAGTCGATTCACACACTGAAAGACGACTCCGAATTCGCCCACGCCAATGACGCTAACCTGCATGAACTCGCGCTTGAAACGACTGATGTTTGTGTCGTGCAGAGCCAATCGCTTGGGTGCCTGTTGATGTATCTCGCGCATGCTGTCCAGGCCATTGGCATCCTGTGCGCCATCGTCCTCGCCGGCATCACTGAGCAGAAACTTTTGCATGGCGCTCAAATTGAGATTCTCGCGTCCGAACTGAGTGCGACAGCGCTTCTTGTTGTGCGCCAACAGACCTGTAATGAAGTAATAAACACGATATTTCATCTGATGTTCATATGTTATAAATTCATTTGTCACTCACTGTCTGGTGTGAAGGGATTCACATTGGCCGTGTCTTGGGGCTGCATCGTTCTGTGGTTGTGCAGCGGCAGCGAGCGCGGACGTTCTGTGACTTTGTAGACATCCTCACGTTTGACCGAATTCGCCGCAGCTGCAGCGGCTGATAGATGATTGCAGTTTGTTGTTGACTTCTGCAATATAGTCTTTGGCGTTGCTGGTGTGTTGAAAAGACGAAGTGCGCGCACTTTTTGGCATGGTGGCGACATGTCGTTGTCACGCGATACAGCATTTGGCTTCTTTTTTTGTTGCGGACTCTCCTGTCGATCCTTGTCAAAATCGTCGTCGGCGAAGCGCAATTTGCGTGGATTAAATATCAGTGGCGACGGAGAACGCGAACGCATCTCGACGCTAGAGTCGAGTTGCTCAAGCGATGTGTCTTCCGCACTGATGATGCTCGTTTCGTGCTTGGACAAGCGAAAGGCCATGGCCATTGCAATTCCAATTAATTGAAGACTTTGATCACACACTTCACCAAATTGCCGAACTAAATTTATTGTTGATTGCGTTTGTAGTTTGATCAATGTAAAAAAAATAAACAAAACAAAAACACAAAGCAGTATTAAGTGTAGGAATGCGAAGCGCAATTGATCTTATATCGATATGTGCGTCCATCGATGACATTTGCGGTCGGTGTCAATTCTTTGGCGTACGCTACAAAATATCGATATTATTATATCGATATAAACAGGCACAGAGTTTCTTTAAGAAGTTTCTTTCTGCATTCGAACTATTCTATTATCGATCGCAATGCAAAATCTTAAAAACTGTTTAAAGTTGAATGATCTAAATAGAGTTATTAGCTTAAAAATGATTTGTTCATGAGAAATTTGGGAAACAATACAATAAAAATCTCAATTTCAAAAGCTAATAAAATAATGCTTTCTATTGTGAAAAAATACAGTACAAACAAAGCAGTCTGACACATTTGGATTGGAAAACAACAGTTGTTTAAATGTTTAAAGCTTACAGCAAAAGGTGAACCGTTTGCCTTTTCCAAGACGTTTCAATCACCGGCAGCGGCCAAACTTCAAGTTGCTAGACTATTAGACTTATTGCCCAGATCGAGCTCCATGCGACAGCCGCCAAGATAATCGTACCAACTGAGGTATATTCGAGGAGAAATCACAAATCATTGAATTGGAGAAACGTTAAAAAAAAAAAGTAGCGCAAGTATACTAAAAGCTTTATACTAAGGCTTTGGATCATCCATTTTAGTCTGGCTTTTAGTCGTAGTGCAAGTCGCTCTCGTGGCGACCTTACTTATTCAAGGCTTAAGATAAGGTTCCATTCTTGCCAGGAAAAATATCCGATAACAGGGATTCTAAATATATATTGGAGAGGCGCTCATTGCTATTTCAGCTCATACGCAATTATGAAGGATCCTAAATTAACATGTTAATGGTTATATTTTAATGTTATATTATTTTTCATTTAAAAGCGTCAATCAATTCGTCTTTTAATACATTTTGCGTTTCCCGCCCGTATAATTGAAAATAAAACGAAGCCAAATTTTTTGGCATTTGATTTATTGATTGAATATTAATGTATTGTAGGTTCTATACGCACCTGTTACATACAAGATGCGCATTTCAAAAAAATCATACATTATTATTATAATACTTAACTATGACGTAATGTATGAGAAATCTGAATTGGTTTGCAATAATTTTGCTTAATTTAATGAATATTTAAAAACACCTTACAAACTTGAAGTGAGAATATCATTCGGGCATTGGGTCTGTCTGGCATTCAAGGTTAAAAGGGTTCGTTCGATCAATCTGATAAGTTTATATCATAAAATTGACATGAGGATAGAATTTCAATTGTCCGAAACGATTTATTGATTGATTTTCATATATTCCTACAAATTTAAGCTGCCACTTTAATTTAATTACGTGATTTCTCGTTTTCGAATACAAAAACATTCTTAGCCTGATATATGTTTCTATATATGTTTGCATGTATTTATGTATGTTTGTATGTATCTATGAAAAGCAAAAGATTTTCATTAATAATGAGGTGAATGACTAGATCGATGATACTAAAACTGTTTCGATCTGTAAATTTGATTTGTTTGTTCGATGAGCGTTTCAACGGGCATGAAAAAAATTGTTCTACCTGGCATTCTGTTAAAGTGGAAAAAATAGAGAAAGTTGGAGGGTGAAAAAGAGAGTATATGCTTAATTCTGGTGTATATTAGTCTATAGATTATATTCTAAGCTAAGAATGTGGGCAACTAAAATGATTGACTGCCTGACGAACAGATAGGTAATTGTAAATTTTTGGGGTGTTTTTTTTTAATTTTTTTTTTTTTTTTTGTGATTTTCTTCTTTTAATATTTTTGTGTTTGGTTGAAGGAATGAAAGGAGCAGCAGGTTGAGCCCTATTGTAAATGGCCAAAATCAGGTTCCTTGCAACGCTAGTCCCTGGACATGGAACGCGATACTGAGGAATCGCCGCGGCGGCGCGACGGCGAACCGCGACGCGGCGGTGATGGCGATCGCGAACCTCGATCTCTGTCGTCGTCATCATCATCGTATCGCCGCTTTACTGGCGGCGGCGAGTCCACCACTCCGCTGCCATTCCGATCCTGGTCACTATAACGTGATACCGAACCGTTCTCATCGCGACCATTCTCACGGGAGCGTCCAGAGCGACGGCCACCCGAACCAGCTGAACGGCTGCGTGAACGAGTTCCCGACTTCGAGCGAGTGCGACGGCGTCTCGATGTGCTGCGAGATCTGCTCATAGAGTTGCTTCTGCAATGAAAATTAAAGTCAAAGAGGAATTGAAATTACCTTTACAACATACTTTTAATTGTTTGAATATAATATAAATAATTGGAGCTAGCGAATATTTATTTCAAAATGCCTCTAACAGTCAGATAAAACATGGCAGACCACATAAAGTATATATAGTCCTGATCATATCATAGCTAAAACAAATCCTTATCAAATTTATTCCGATCCCAACCAGCACCACATTAGCAAAACTTTCACAAGATTTACATATAAATTTCATAAAATTTATTATCATCTTTAAACAAACACAAGCTAGATACAGTGTAGATCGCATGTGAGCCATTGTTTACCCATGTTTTTTGCCACCCTTCTTGTGATGCTTGTGACCGTGTTTCTTTTCGCCCTTCTTGCCGTGCTCCTCCTTCTCGTCGTAGCTGTCGCCGTATTTGTGCTCCTTTTTATATTTCTTGTGATCCTCGTCGTGGTGTCCCTTCTTGTAGTGACCCTCTTTCTTTTTGTGGCCCTTCTTCTTGCCACTTTCGTGCTTCTCGCCCTTCTTCTGCTCGCCATGATCCTCCTCGTGATGCTTGTGCTCCTTGCCGTATTTCTTGTGATGGCCGCCCTTGTGCTCATCGTCGTAGAACTTCTTCTCCTTGTAGTATTCGTCCTTGTTGAATTTTTTATGGTACTCCATCTCTTTGTGACCCTTCTTGTGCTTCTTCTTCTCGTGATGCTTGCCGCCCTTCTTGTGTGCTCCATGCTCATGCTTTTCTCCATACTCGTCCTTCTCATCATAGTGTTTCTTCTTCTTTTCACCCTTGTCACCATGATGATGCTCATGATCCTCCTCCTCGTGATGTTTCTTCTCCTCCTCGTCCCATTCTTTGTGCTCCTTGTGGCCATGTTCGCCTTTGTGCTCCTCATCGCCATATTTCTTCTTCTCATGCTTCTCGCCGCCCTCTTCCTCCTCGGAGGAGGCGGCCTCTTTCTTTTTGGCCGCTGCGAATGTCAGCAACAACCCCAAAACTAACAACACCTTCAACTGGCGCCTCATTCTGTCCAACTAAGCACAATCTTTCAGCATCTCTGGTGCTTTTATATCGAATGCCCCCATTGGGCTTCAGCCGATCGACCTCACCGCAAAATCCACAGACTCGAGTGATGCAAGACATCGTTGGCAGACCCAACTACTGATGTAAATTTTCTGCTTGAACGCGTATTCAAACACTTTTTTATGACTAATCGTCATCTGTTGCTCGTAATCGAACTGCTCCGTCACTTACAATGGGCCTTAGAGCTAACATTCCTTATATAAATTTAACTATAGTGTTCCAGACAAATGGAGGAGAGCTGAATAACCAGGCCAAGAGACATATGGATGGATGGACGAAGAAGAGCTATATGAATGCAGCTAATGGAGTCCATCGGATCATATTCTAATAAACTCTATTCTATATAAGCAAGAATATTTATATATTGGAAACTGTGCTTTAAAAAAAACTACGTTACAGTAGTTTTATTAAGATATCTGTATAGATGGCGATTGCTGATTGTATATGATACTCTATTGCAGATACAAATATTTAAACAAAATTTGTTAAACAAAATTTTAGTTTGATATTTATATAGCTATATTAATTTTAGTTAGATTAGTATTTCAGTAAAAAAAATGTAAATTTCATCTGCAAATAAAATTTGATTTTGTTTAAATACAAAATAAAGTCAGTTTGTTGTTCATTTATCTTGCATATTACATTTTTATTGCTAATGTAGATACACAACAAATAAGTGTATTCTTGGCTGTAAAACTATGGATTAACTGCTAAAAACTATATATGTACTTAAGCACTATATCAAAGCACCAGAATTGTTGCTTCTTATTCCTGATGTTTGGATTTCTTCTTCTTCTTTGCAGGCGTTGCTTCTTCAGCTTCTGCTGGAGACGCCTCAGCTGTTGCTTCGGGTGCTTCTTCGCCCTTTTGCTTCTTCTTCTTCTTCTTTTTCTTTTCAGATTTACTTTCTGTCCCATCAGCAGCAGCAGCAGGCGTTGCTGGCTTCTCCTCCTCCTCCTCCGCCTGCGGCTCCTGCTTGACGGGTGTTTCAATTTCTGAATGTTTGCGTTTCTTCACATGCAACGTGTTATCCGCCTCCGGCTGATAGGTAAATACCTCGCTAAAATGGCAAATGAGTAAAGTGAGCAAAAAATGCGAACAAATGCTTTAAGAGTTGCTCATCTCAACAATCTTGGAACAAGTTAAAAACTCAGTCAGACAGCCAAGGTTTTTCTACATTGTGAATTTCAGCAAATTGCGAAACCTTTTGTGATCATCATTTAGAGCTTTAACTTGGCCAAAACTGATGGCAATATCCGGGGAATATACTAACCTCTTGGCCTGATATTTCTCGAACTTTGCCCTTGCCTTGCCGGTGCCGGAAAGTTTCCGCAGATTTCCTTCCTCGAGCAGACGTAATCGCGACTCCAGCTTGACTTTGTGTGTAGCTCCCAGCTCAAATGACGCCTCCTCGCCGAATGCATCGACTCGTGTGGCCAGTGACGCCTTCGCCGCCAGAGAACGCGACATCTTGCCCTTGTTCTTCTGACTAGCTTGACCCACCAGTTGTGCATGATAGATGAGACCATATTTCGGCGTATCTTTCTTTGTTTTCAGGGCACGGAAGAGCGCCTTTTCAGCACCCAATATCTGAACCGTGGACGACGGATGCTTGGCTAGATTGATGAGCGAACCAGCATGCGCAATAAGACGGGCGCCAACAGTGTCGCCAACGAGTACCGTCAGATTGGGCGCCATTGCCATCATGCGAGCCTTTAGGTAGTCATAGAGATGAATGCGATAGTCGTTGATGGAAATGATCTCGTCACACAGACACTGTATGTTAAGCACATCCTCATCGCTGATCTCAGTGCCCATTGAAATTTCGGCTGCTTCTTTAACCTGCTGCTCCACATCTTCGGGCAGTATGTCAGACAAGTCGGCTGTCGCCATATTGTCCCTGGTGCCCACCAGTTTGATCGTCTTGACAAAAGCAATATTGTCGGTTATCAGTTTGCCCAGCTCTGGGAAGTGCCAGCCATACCATTCACGGGCGCGCATCATATAATTGTTAAGTTCTTTGTCCAGGTCATCCAGCAAACATTGCGCCTGCACAATCATCGTATCAATCTTGTCCGGCGAGAACTTCAGCTTGTAACGGGAGAGCGAATGGGCCAGACCCAGCGCCATAGCTGTCATTTCTCGCTTAGGCAGGCCACCCAGGAGACTATCCGCCTGCTGGCGTATGCAACGCATCAGTTCTTGCACGCCCGTATTGTAAACACACTGAACCGACAGCTTATCCTTGATGGCTGTGCCCAGTTTGGCATCCGCAACCAGGAGGGATGCCTGCACATCGTCGACGAGTAGCTTCTTCAGTGTCTTCTTTAGTGGCTTTGATACTTTGCCCTCTACGGCCGCAGTGGCCGCAGCAAGCGCTTCTGTGGTATCATTGAACTTTTCAAAATGCTTCAACTTCAGCAATTTGTTCGCCTTTTCAGGTGTCTCAAATTCCAAGTATAAATTATCGACCTGTTCGAGTTTCTTTTCGTCGAGCAGTTTAAAAATTGCGTAGCCCGCCGGCGTTTCATATAATACAAACATTTTGCACTTTCAGTGCAATAATTTAAGTTAAAAATTATTTTAGTCGCGCAGCAAACACGAACTTAACCTTCTTTAGTCTAACGCCGCGTGTAAAAGAAAAATCCAAAATGAGGCATGCAAACACGTGCGTCTGCACGCGCCCAGTGTTGCTCTTGCCGCACATATTACGATTGCCAACCTACACACACTATCGATAAGTTTCTGTTATCATACAAAACGCGTGTTGTCTAGAGTTATGAATAAATTTAACAATTTTCATTTACAAAATGTGTTTATAGTAACCACTTTACTTTACACATTATATAACTAGTTTAAAATTAAAATACTTCAGTTACATTAGTATTGAAAAGCATGTTACCACAATTCGATAAAGCGCGCCTTTTTCCAAATCAAAGTGTGTACGCACTGTTTTTTAAATCACCACCATGAAATTCACCATGCTCAAACAATTTTAAATTTGATATGCAGAGTCCATGCATATACATATGTATGTATGTGTGTATACGTATACAATACAAAATTATGAATGAAATTGTCCACTAACCTGCGTCGTTGTCTAGCCTTCCGCTCGCGGCAATGGCGCGCAAAATGACCACGCATGCCGCACTCATAGCACTTATCGTCGCTACGACCGCCGCCGCCTCCTCGGTCACGTCCTCCTCCAAAGCCACCACCTCCTCCGCTTCCACCGCCACCACCACCACCAGCACCGGAACGAGCGTATTTTCCTGTGGATAATTCTACGCGAGCTCTGCGGCCACACAACGTACGTCCATCCAAGCCACGCACCGCGTCAGCTGCATCTCGGGCACTTTCGAACTCAACAAATGCGAAACCTGGCGGATTTCGTGCAATCCAAACACTGCGCAAACTGCCATAGGCACCAAAGACATACTCTAAATCGTTCTTTCGTGCGTTATTGCCCAAATCGCCAACATACACTTTCCGGTCGCTAGGATGCCGCGACATTTTCTAGCTTGGGTTTGTTGGTGGGCGCTGTGAAAATCGCAAGCAGCGCAGTGTAGCGCAGAAAAAATCGATTCGAGTGCTAAACTTTCGTGTTTGTTGCCCTTGTCAAAAACACATTCGGTTAATCCAAATCTTGATTGCTTATCATCACTTTATGTAAATATCTGTGACTTTCTGTTATTTAGGCACTATATTTATTTCGGCACAAAACTTTTTGCCGACTCGCAAAATGGTTGGGTGAGTGAACCAAACAGTGATGTTCACAAAACGAAGCACTAGTTCAAAAGTTCCTTTTTGTGAGGAGCAAAAAAAAATGTAAACAATAATTGAACTAGCGAAGAATTAGTGTGACCATACTTATATATAATTGTTTCTAGTGAGGTGAATTTCTTCACTATCGATACTTTAAGGCCGGTCAATGTTATTCTTTCTTCTTTCCCGATATTTTTAAAGCTATTAAATTTACATTTTATAACATACGATATATATTCTCATTAACAATAATAGATAATTTAGGTTTAAAATTATATGGTACGACTTAAATGAACGTTTACCATATTAACACAAGTCAGGGCTACAAGAACAACTTGCAGGCAGTAAACAGTTTCAATGGCCATTCAAAAGAATTAAAACGTTTAACTACTTAACATTAATGAGAGGGAGAGCTCTGATTAAATAAATATTGTTTGAGTTTTGAAAATCAATATGAAGTTGCACCCCTGACGCTTAGATTGATAAATATATAATGCAACCGTGAGTTGCCGATTGCAAGAGACTTGCGGTGAATTGTGAATGGCTACCACCATTAAACGTGGCGGTGGCGAGTTTTCTATCATAAGTTAGGTTATATATCGTATGCATCAAATCATACAATTATTTATAAGCTAGTTTTTTAAGGAAAAAACACTTAAATTTAGTGAATTTGCAGTGCGAAATCTTTAAAAAACCACAGACGAACACTTGGCACAAACGGTAAGCATGAACAACAACACAAATATAAATTTTACATAACGAATTTAGTGCTTTATAAAAAACGAAGCCTATGCCTTCCTTTCCAAAATTAAATGTGCGACAGCAGCAGCTGCCTGGTGTATACATATATAGATTTGGTGTTTGTAATTATGACGCCGATATAATTATAAAAGCGATTTGTGTTCATCATTAATATTGTTTTTTGTTTGTGTGCTACAAACTAATTTTTAGCTCCCATTTTCCTAATATAGTGGAAAATTTCATATTTTTATACATACGAAAAATGCTATGTATAACAGCACACTAACACACACAAGACACAACGGCCATTCGCATACACACACATTAGTACAATACTTACACATCGACACGTGTGCGCTTGTAAGCGTAATTGCGTATGTATGTATAAAAGATTGCGGTGCAAAATACAAAAATCATGCGAAATTTTAAAATTGCGTAGTAAGAAACCGCACTAATTTATCCGAACTCTGGAAATGTTGAATATTGTGTAAATTTTGAGTGATATGCGCCGGTAGAATGAATGCTTCTAATTTGCAAAAGTATTAAATGTAAGAAGAAAAAGTAGTTCATCTGGCATAGTTTCATTTTGCTCGCATTTGTGTCTTTTCGAATCAGTTCTGCAGATTTCTTTGTTGAAGCATTTTTGTCGTCACCGACAAGTCTTCCATTTTGTTTTTTTTTTTTTTTCTTTTTTTTTACTGCCGCCGCGCCGCTACCGCTGCTGCTACTGCTCGTGGTGAATTTCTCGGACTTCATGCAATTCATTGCGTTTGTTTTGAGTTCTTGTAATTAAGCATCATTGACGCGTAACAGCGTACATTTTAAATGGTTTTATTTTATTTTAAGTCGTGCGTATAGTGTATGTACATATATATTTGTTCATATGTATATTTTGAGGGCATTGCTTTTTGTATCTTTCCTTTCATTTTACATTCGCTTTCACATCGCACACGGCGTTGCCACATGGTTTTCAAAATATTTCTTTTTCATACCAAAAGTACGCATGTAGCTACAGTCTCGCAAACACTGTATAAATTGTTTCTGCACACTTTGTTGACTTTTAAACTAATATCGTGAGTGTTTTCTTCTAAATAACGACATCATTTTATTAATTTATTATAGTATGGTCCTTTTTTTTTCGCCAAACAAATCGTGTGGCAATATAGAATAAATGGCGCGCAAATGTGGGGAGCCGGCACTTTGCTTTATGCTTGCCCTTCTGTCCGTCATTCTGTTTTCACCATTTTTACCTTCAGAAAAAAGTTCGTTGTTCTCACAACTATTCGATAGGCACTTGTGGTGCGTATGTGTGTGTGTGATGGACGTAGGTGTGTGTGAATGTAAAATGAATGACGCTGTGGCTGTAGCTGGGACATTGCAACGATAACTCTACGTTAGCGCATGGTGTTACACAGCAAAAAGAAAACGTTAAAAAAGAAGAGAAAATGCTAGTAGCAGTGTGTAAAAAGACAAAACGGCAATCAATGACCAGCGTGCTTTAAAACCACATAAGAGCAAGCGGAGCGTTGCAAACGCCGAACAAGTTGTGAACGTGTACAAAAAGCAGTTAGACGGCAAGAGAATAGAGTATACATTTATATGTATATGTATGTATTCATACTTAAATGTATGTGTGTTCAAGTATGTATGAGTACCGGCCGGTTGCTTTCCGCAGCGCTTCTGCTCTTTACCTGCCTTTCATAATAATTTGTGCCTATTTTAGCTGATTTCTGTACATACATATGGTACTAATGTATGTGTTAATTCTTCCATGGCTATGTGTGTGTTTGTTTTATTGCTGTCATCCGTTCTCTCGTCCAATGTGGCCAGAGTTAGTTAAGATTTACTTTTAACTGTTGGTATTTGTTTTACTGATCTGATTTGCATTTTTTTCTTTACACAAAACAACATATACCGACACATGGACATCGCATCGTTGATAATAATTAGAAAGTTACGTGTAAACGTCGTGGCTTTTGTTTAATTATTTTGAATAATAAACATATAAAAAATATATATATAAACTTTGGCAACTAAAACCAATCCCAAAAMACACAAGCAACAACAACAACAGCAACTAGTGTAAAATTCAAAGTGTATACAAGAGCAACAACAAGCGACAAAACACAAACGGACACCCGGCAACATTTTCAAGTCCACAAGTGCAACATAAACAGCAGCAAAATTACGTCAATTATTGAAAATCTACCCGGCGCAATAGCTCACAATCATCAAAACAACATCATGGAAGAAGACGAGAGGGGCAAATTATTTGTTGGCGGCCTGTCCTGGGAGACAACGCAGGAGAATCTGTCTCGTTACTTCTGTCGCTTTGGCGATATTATCGATTGTGTCGTTATGAAGAACAATGAGAGTGGCAGATCGCGTGGATTTGGCTTTGTTACCTTCGCCGATCCCGGAAATGTTAATCATGTTCTTCAAAGTGGACCGCATACACTCGATGGACGCACGATTGATCCGAAGCCGTGCAATCCTCGTACGCTGCAGAAGCCGAAGAAGGGTGGCGGCTACAAGGTGTTCCTTGGCGGTTTGCCATCGAACGTGACGGAGACCGATCTGCGCACGTTCTTTGGCCGCTATGGCAAGGTCACCGAGGTGGTCATCATGTACGATCAGGAGAAGAAGAAATCACGTGGATTTGGTTTCTTATCTTTCGAAGAGGAGGCCTCCGTGGAGCATGTTACCAACGAGCGTTACATCAATCTGAATGGCAAGCAGGTGCGTATTTGTAAATTGTATACATATAATTCAAGGATAAGATTTTCCTATATCGGTAGAAGGGTTATAGCAAATAGTAGCGACGATATTAATGATGCCAGTTGTGTATTCATTACGTATGTATATTAAATATAGGAATATAACAAAAAATGTAATTTTTAAATATGATTTTGAAAGGTTTAAGTCTAAATTACTAACAGAAAACTGATATCGTGATCACATTACAAGTATATGACATCTAAGAACATTGAAGTTGAATGAAAAAACAGACTGGCAACTGTTTTATAAACTTATTCTGATAAAGAAGAAATGTAAATAAAATAGCATGACAATGGTGACAATTTGTATAAAGAACATAGTTATAAATTATGTAGAGCGTAATATACTAAGGCTTTAACTGTCATTTTGTCAAAAATTTTGGTCTAAATATGATTGTGTTTTGCAGGTGGAGATTAAGAAAGCTGAGCCACGCGATGGTTCCGGTGGACAGAACTCGAACAACAGCGCTGTGGGTGGTGCCTATGGCAAGTTGGGCAACGAGTGCAGCCACTGGGGACCACATCATGCGCCCATTAACATGATGCAAGGCCAGAACGGTCAGATGGGTGGCCCACCATTGAACATGCCGATTGGTGCGCCCAACATGATGCCCGGTTATCAAGGCTGGGGTACTTCGCCGCAGCAGCAGGGCTATGGCTATGGCAATAGCGGCCCGGGTTCTTATCAGGGTTGGGGAGCACCACCCGGCCCCCAGGGACCACCACCGCAATGGTCGAACTATGCTGGACCTCAGCAGACCCAAGGATACGGCGGCTATGACATGTACAACTCGACTTCGACTGGAGCACCGTCGGGACCATCGGGAGGCGGCAGCTGGAGTAGCTGGAATATGCCACCCAACTCGGCTGGGCCAACAGGCGCACCAGGTGCTGGCGCCAGCGCCGGCACGGACATGTACTCGCGTGCCCAGACATGGGGAGCGGGCGGACCATCGACCACTGGGCCCGTGGGCGGCATGCCGCGCACTGGACCCGGCAACTCGGCCTCCAAGTCTGGATCCGAGTACGATTATGGCGGCTATGGCTCTGGCTCCGGCTACGATTACGATTATAGCAATTATGTTAAGCAGGAGGGCGCATCCAACTACGGCGCCGGTCCGCGATCAGCGTACGGCAATGACAGCTCTACACAGCCACCGTACGCCGCATCGCAGGCCGTTTAAGGAGCCAGCGCTCGCGTGTTGTCTCGTGTCATCCTGCGGCCCCCAAGAGGTGAATGATGAAGATGACAAAAAGATGGTGGTAATTGTAAGCTAAAGCGTCGTCTGTTCGTTTCATATTTTTAAAAGATAATTTTTATTTGAGATCAGTTGTTGAAATTAATTAATGTAACTCCTGTGTACACAACAAATAATTTAAAAACATAATTTAACACACACACAAACAACACAAAAATCAGCTTGAAAGCAAAATCCCTAGCAAAAAACAAGCCAGGTACATAGATTTATATATAATATAT